GAAACTTAACTGAAATTTAGTAAAATGTGTCTAAGATTATAAGTGTCAAAAAATAAAATTTGTGAATGTTGTAAATAACAATTTTCCATCTTAAAATTTTGAACAAGAATGTTATTCTAAAAATTAGAAATATAAAATTAAATTAAATTAACCGATTGGGTGCTGAATAGGTATGAGTGTTGATGAAGGAAGTAGATCAAAACTTGTTTAAGCACTAGTCTACAACTGTACATGACAATAATGAGTGAAGGACAAGTCCCCAGTGGAATGGATAGCCTGTGGGTCTCCTTCGTATATACTCGTAGGGACTAAGAAGTAATGCTAGTAAATATATATCTACTATGTGACCAAGGATGCTTCCATTGGATCTAAAACATGAAATTTTCATTTATTATTATAATTGAATCACTTAATGTACAATTATAGATATATATTTCATATAATGTGACAATTAAACGTTAAATTAATAAAATTGTTATCATTTTCTAGAATAAAGAGATGATTATTTCAATTTTTATTGCTTAAATTATTTATTTCAACTTGGTCAAAATTAATAAATTAGGATGATTAATTGGGTAAAAATTAAAACTGTTTAAAGAATACATTTCAAATAAACTAACAATTTTTTCTTTTAGCTTCGTTTATATTTCATAGGAATAAAGTTAGCATAATTCTTCTGTAATCTTTAAATAGATATCTATCTTCTATATTACAAATTGATTGCAATATTTAGTATTGATTATTTCTTATTATTTATTTTGAAATCATGATTAGTATGAGAATTTATATCCAAAGGAGTCATTAAATTCCTTATCAAAACAATATCCAGAAACTTAATTATATGGATCAAAATAAGTTGCCGAATATGCATAAGGTTTAATGCATTTCTCATTGAAAATTGCATTTTAATTAGTGACAATAATATATTGTTGTTAATAAGCCTAATATGATAAATATAAATACTGTAATTTTTATTTTTGAACGAGATACACATACTTAAATCAATTGAGGGCAAACAGAAAATTTTTCACTTTCACTTTCTATTTGAAATAATTTAAGGGACATAACTTACATTAATAAATTGGTTGTTCTTAGCACACTAAACAATCTGAACCAAAATATTCATTTTGCTTGTGTTTTAAAAATTTCATCTCCTATTCATATTTTAATAAAACTTTGAATTTAATTTTTTTGGCTCATCATTCTAAAGAAAAAAGTATTTTCTTTAATAAACCCATTTTGACAAGACACACAATAATTAATGCTTTCAATACTCAATATATACTATACTCAATTTTGTAAATAATTCTATCAATTAAGTTTTTCAGGAACAATAGAAAGATCATCTTGTGTTGATAATGTTCATTGTTCTATTCTCTCTTAATCAATTAAAGAACTTAAAAAATTTCTTATTTAAGGTTACTAAAATATGCATCAAAATCAAAATTTTAATTATCTTTACAAAGTGCACAACTTATTTAATTTTGAGATTTATTCTCAAATATTGGATATGAAGGCAACAAAGAACAAAATTTTAATTATAGCATATGTATTCTAAGCAATAAATAAAGTTATCGATAATAAATTTCTTGCATTATCTTGAATATGAAATGTAATCAGGAGTTCCATCAAAATAATATCTTTCTTGGACTTCATAAAAAAATGATTATTCTATACTTTCCAAATCTGACAAGAAAAGATATTTCTGACAAGTAAGATCAAACTACCAGCTCAATGGATTACTGTAACATTCAAAAAATATAATCATATTTTTATTAACTATCGATGGACTATAATATTAATAAAATAATACTATAATTAACATTCTTTTTCTATTTCAAAATAACCTTATTTGCATTTATTAGTGTGCAAATTTGATTAGAAAAAGTATAAATTTAAATTTAAATAAGTTTAGCAATTATAATTTTTGTCTATATTATACTAAAGACATATAAAAACCTTGAATTCACCTATAAATTCTCTGAGAGGATTTAGAGCAAGATAAACAGTTTTCATTTGTTTAGCCATCACATGTTAAACAAATGTACTGACAATTATCTTCGTTCAAAAGCTAATAACAATTATAATTATGAAAGTTTTTTATTGAAAGTTTTCTTGTTAATAATATCCAAACTATATTTTTAATTAGTAATTTTTAAATTAATTTACATTATATTACCTTGTCAAATGATGAGAATTATTTTATTTCTCATAAAACTTCAAATTCAAAGTAATTTAATTAGAATTTAGTTCTACTTTAAAATAATGCCATAAACTTAAATTATTTTTAATTGTTATTTCATCTCAAATTATTTAAGATTTCTAAAAAGTTTATATTATTTTACTGTTTTTCAAGTCAATCACAATAAGTAATATTTATACTTAATGACTTTATCCGATAGCTATATGTAAATGAAAGAAAGAGTTATTATAAAATCCATATAATTCTATCTAATTAATTAATCCAAGAGGAATATATTTCGACCATAAACCATATTTAAAATAATAGTCCTAATGATAGTATTAATCTTTTATAGTTATAATCTGTCTTAGTTTTTGATTTTAATGATTCATATCTATTGTTCAAAGCCATAAACTAAAATTTACATCATCAAAATTCCACTCCAAAACATAATGATATGATAATTAAAAATATATGAAGATTTTACAATGTCTCATATTGCCTATAAACAATTAGTTTCCAATTCAAAAAGAAATCATAAAATTCGAAGCATTTAATCCTAAAAATCAGAAAATCTTCTGAATTCAAAATTATCACTCATATTTAAAAAAAAAAATGGAATCAAATTTTTTTTAGGATTTTTAATTCTAATTACTCTGCATAATAAATTATGTCAAAATTAAAATATGATTGTCCATTTTTTGGTTTGATGGAGAAGAAAATAGTTTTGAAAAAAAATATTATAAAAAAATCAAAATTTCTAGTTTTTAAACGATAAATCTCTCTTTATTTAAACCAAAAGATGTATATCTTTATGTATTCATTTTACAAAATAAGTTCAATAATGTAAGTGCTTAAATTCAGAAAAAGCCTTAGAATTTGTAGGATATCAAGTATAAATTATATTTATTTTTTCTTTTCATGATCCTTCAAAATTATATCATAAATTAAATCCTTCTGTTCTGAAAAATAAATTAGTTTTTTGTTATTGAAACTTTCATAATAATTAGATTAATTCAGCACAAATATATTTTTATAATAATAAAATAAATATGATTTGATGTGATGTGATATAATTTCTTACTTTTAAATCTTGTTATCTTGTGTTTAAAAAGTTAGTCCTACTTTCATTATTAGAGATTTCACTATAAACTGAGATAATTATACAAACTCATATTATCAAAATTGAAAAATCTTCTAGGAAAGTGAGAGGAGAAAAAAAAAAAATGATAAAACTAAATTATGAAAAACTTTCAATAGAAAAGTTTTGTATAAAAGGAAATTGCTTTAGTTATTTCTTAGGGCTACTTTCACTTATATTAAGTTAAAGATTTCACTACTATTTAAGTAATAGTATCGATTCATTTTTCTTTGCTGTTTGATATAAATTAGTCACCTATAGTTTCCTATGAATTTTTTTTGTTTATTCAACTGTTCTGCATATATAACTAGCCTTCATTTTAATAATTTTGATCAATTAATATTAATATAGTTATTATATTTGCTTAATATACAAAATTGTATTTATAATGAGTATTAAGCAGGCTCACCCAACAAAGGAAAAGGAAGAATAGAATGAATTTAAAAAGGGATCGCATTAGAGTATGCAGCTCGGTTCAAATATACAATGATCTTAGAAAAAGAAGAGTAAAAGTCATAGAAGCTAAATAAATTTTTTTTCCAAAAATTGAAGAATTTTTCATTTAATTTCTTTAGTCAATAATATCAGCATATATTGTAACCAAAGGTTAGTTTGTTTACAAGCTAAGATCTTATTATGGAAGAGGAAGATGTTTTAGTATTGGAAGGCTTCAAAATTAAATTTAATAGGGCTATAAGAGGATTATTAATAATCTTGAATTTTTTACTTACTTTTCAAATCAGACCAAGAAAAATAATATAACTTAATAATCAATTTCAAAATAATAAATTCCATTTCTCCCTCAACTTTAATTTATTTTTGAAAAATTAAGACAGATTTTCCTATAAAGCAGGACAGTATATCTTTAATAAATCCCATTCTTACTTAAGTTCAATAATTAATTCTACTTAGAGGTTTAATTTATTTTAATGAAGAGAATGAATTATTATTATTAATATGTCATTTTTTTTGACTTTCAACGATTGAATATTTTATTGAAGTTGACATTCAATGTTTGTTTGCATTAATAGTCTAAGGCTTCTTTTCATTCGAACAATTTTGACAAAGAGAGCAAATACAAATTCCTTTACTCCTATTGGAAGCAAACTCCACTTTGTTCATATTTAGATTGAATATGTAATAAAAAAAGTCCCTAATAAATAAAGTTACCTCAATATCATCGTTTAACTAAGTAATCCAAGTTTAATCCCCAATACCAAGAGACCATTCTAATTATCCAAAAGTTGCCCTACTTGACTCCAAACATAGGAAAATTACAGCCCACTAGAAAGGCGTTTTCTATTCTATCAGTCTATTCATCGCTTGCCAGAAACTCATAAAGATTCATTACCTCACTATCTCCTACCTAATATAGTATCCATCCATTTGCTTTCCCTAATTTACCGTCATCCTACAGCCAAATGTGAAATTTTTCCTTAAGGGTGTTTTCTCTCATCATAATGTAGTTATTCATGATTTCTTCAAACGGTTTAGTTGCTATTTCGACATTAAGAATCCATTATAAGTCTCTTTAAATTTATGAAGAAGGCTAATGTCTTTAGTGATTGTGAATTAGCTATGAAAATCTCTTCAGTAGTCCAGAACATTTAATTTTTATTCAGATGGGTTGGTCAGGACACTAGCATTCGATACTTTAGCAAAATACCTGTGCGAGTCTTACTAAGAAATTTGTGGTATTGATTTCATATCACTAACCATTCGTCCACTCTTCTAGTTCACCCCGTTTATTGAAGGTCATTCTTTAATTTATTTATTTATTAAGTTCAATTCTTATTGATTTTAGGCAGCCTTATAAATCTTATGGGTCAGCACTCATTCTTTAATCGTAATAATAGCTCAGACCTTCTTTCCATCCTAATTTACATTAACTGAATGGACCAATACATAAATTTTTACTCTAGTTGAATTTAAATTCTGTATATGTATATGGTAGCTTAGGGGTAATATGTATAGACAAAAGTCCTTGATGAAGAGTTAAGTTTCATATTATTGTTATATATGGTATATCGATAATTGATATCCAAGATGTCTCATGAACATAATAAACTCCATGTGGCCCCTTTTAATTCCTATATCCAGATATTTAACTTTTATTAGACAAAGCAATTTTCAAAATAAAGATAAAATTTTTGTTTTACATCTAAAAAATAAAACAATAAAGGTCTACTAAAAAGAAATAAATTACTTTAACGCTTCAAGGAAGAAGTTTATTAATACGTGAACCTTTAATCAGAATAGTAGAGCTCATTGGCTAACTCACATATACCTTGTTCTGAACTAACAGTAAATACTATCCAGATCCTCTATATGGATATAAAATACAGAATAAACCCAGCTTATTTAGAGTTTAAAATTGCTCCTACTAGTTTACATAGGTTTTAATGAGAATGTTTATTATTTTTTCCATTTCCGAATTTCACATCCTTTTTCTGTAATAAATTACATTACCATCAATCAAAATAGAAAGTTTGCTATTAAAATAGGGGCAAAATATAGGGTTAAGCCAAATGAAATAAAACTACAGTTTCAAGTCTTTCGAAATGTTGAATTCATAGGCTTATTAATCTTTAGACTTTTAAGATTAAAAATAGCATAATGAATAGTTATTAAATATTAGAAACATATTATAGTTTTCAGTAATAATGAATTTCTACATATAGTGGCTTATATTACCTATACTTTTTGCAAATTAGAGCAATAATTTAAGTTTTCTCTTAGATAAAAAATCTTATAACTGATTTAATATCTTCATTATTAATTATATAGTTTTAGCATTTCATGACTAATAATGAAGAAAATTCTATTTAGTGATATTCAGGTTGATCTGACCATTATAAATTAAGTAGACCAATATGGTCAATGAATTATTTTACCCTATTTATTTAAAGATATTTATTAATGAGTTCATATAAATCATTGATAATTTATAACCATTTTAAAGATCAAAAAGGATGATTACTTATAAAAAAAAGAGATAGTGGAATTTTAATTAGGAGGAGGATCAATTTTATCTCTGATGATTTTTTAGACTTATTACTAAACTAGCAGTATTAATTCGAGAAAGTTAATTTTTCTCTATTGAGATCTTCCCATGTTTCATAAATAAAATTATCATCATCTTATAATTGATAAAATGTTTTGATGAATTATCATTATCCAAAAGTTTTGAATTTAGTAAAATTATAATTGTTATTTACAAAATATTAAATTTTAATTTATATGAAAATTTTATTATTGTTATAAAGGAATATTATACTTCAATATTGAATTTAAGATAATATATTCATTAATATCCTGTTTATTAATTTAATATCTATTTAGTTATGTCTAATTAGTTGTCAGTCAATATCATATTAAACTCTGAATGGTTTACTAGATTAGCATCATTCCCATTTCAGACATATCTAAATTTACACCTTAATAAGTTAAAAGGGTCTATAACATCATTAATTTAGGATCTTTGTCGTCAATACATAGTAGTCAATTATTTTCTTATAATGAATCAACCAATAAGAATTTCATTTATGTTGATAAATTAAGAACCTCTTGAAGAATCGATGCAACAATTTTAGAGTTGCTTTATTCAGCTAAAAATATTTCTAATCAGAGTATTTAATGCTTAATATCAAATAAAGCTGATTAATAAGTCAATTTGTTTTTTGATTAATTTAGCAATCAACCCTATCAAATTTATGTAAAATAGATACCTCTTTAATTAATTTTAGATTAAATATTACTAAATATATTAAAATAAGTAATAATATATAGAGAAGCTTTTATATATTTTAAATAAATTTATTTGAATTGCTTGCTATTAGCTATGATTTAAGGAATTGCAAATAACTGTAAATTCTGAAAATATTTGATTAAAGAAATAATTATTAAAATATGAATCTTCACATTTTCTAAGAAATAAAT